ATCTCTGAGGCGGCGGTCTTGGAAGATGCCCTCCGTGTTTGTAGGTCAAAGCGGACCAAAGAGAAGGAGGCGTCCGTACTTAAGATTGCAGGGCTTGAGGGTCATGTTGAAGGGTTGGAGGTGGAACTGTCAGTATTGAACAAGCAAATGGATTCTTTGAAAGCGGAGGACGCACGACGATAGTCGCAACCTTCTTCATCTTATGCACCAGCTGACCCCGTCATGCCTCGACATCTATATCAGTTGTGGGTTCACACCGAGGCTCAGCTTGATGTGTACAAGGCTCTTCATGTTGATGGGAGGGCATCTAAAGCAGAGCTTCGGGATGTACATGACAAGGCTCGTGCGGCTCGTAAGGCATGAGGGTATGACCCTCTTATGCCTGACGGCGGTAATATCAACTCTGATGATGCAGACATACTCGCCTCCGACTCTTGGTATGAAGATGTGTATGCCACCGGGAATGATGTGTAGTATTTCTTTTGTACTTTACTTTTTGCTTTGTGATATTTATAAGGGTGTCTTTGAGCCTTTTGTTAAGACAAATATTTGTAACATATTTGTTGTGGATAGAGGTCATTTTTTGTTGTACATCTCTGATTCATTTTCTTTGATTGATTTTGTTTTGACGACTTCTACCGCGGTTACGTCGCTTCGACGCTTTGTCGAAATGCTAAACTTATTGTATTGAGTTTAGTCGAACTCTTTTCGTTGGCAACAACCTTAGCCGTAGGGATATCGCTTTTGAGTTAGCGTCGAAGTAGTATCCTGTTGCAGTGTGAGTGATGTCGAACTCATTTTTTATATCGATGGCCTTAGCCATTGGGATGTTACTTTCGAGCTGGCGCCGAAGTAAGATCCCATCGTGGTTCGAGTAATGTTGAACTTGTTTTTTGTCAATGGCCTTAGCCATTGGGATGTTACTTTCGAGCTGGCGCCGAAGTAAGATCCCATCGTGGTTCGAGTAATGTTGAACTTGTTTTTTGTCAATGGCCTTAGCCATTGGGATGTTACTTTCGAGCTGGCGCCGAAGTAAGATCCTGTCGTGGTTCGAATGATGTCGAACTCATTTTTCGTCAATGACCTTAGCCATTGGGATGTTACTTTCGCTGGCGCCGAAGTAAGATCCCGTCATGGTTCGAGTAATGTCGAACTTGTTTTTTGTCAATGGCCTTAGCCATTGGGATGTTACTTTCGAGCTGGCGCCGAAGTAAGATCCCGTCGTGGTTCGAATGATGTTGAACTCATTTTTCGTCAATGGCCTTAGCCATTGAGATGTTACTTTCGAGCTGGCATCGAAGTAAGATCCCATCGTGGTTCGAGTGATGTTGAACTTGTTTTTTGTCAATGGACTTAGCCATTGGGATGTTACTTTCGAGCTGGCGCTGAAATAGGATCCCGTCGTGAGGGTGGCATTCTATTCTATTTGTTGGAGTGTCGTGGCAGCCAGTTTCATTCATATATTGGAGATGTGTGTTGCTTTCGTACACAAAATGGAGTGATTTTATTCATATATAAGATATACATGTCGACTTTGTACATATAATGGAGATTATACCTAGTCCATTCATTGCTCGTAATAGGTAGGCGGGGCAATGAATAATACTTCAAACCTCGAGACGTCCCCCTCATCGCCTCATTAAAAACCTCCCCGAGAAAACCCGATTGGGATAAAACCTGGGCGAGGGAAAAAGAGTATGACTCGGACGGCGTCTTTTCTCAGAAGTGGAAGTATTTGAGGTGGGCGACATTCCAGTTATTTTGCAATAGTTTTTGTTTCATTGTTTCTAGCTGGAATGCTCCTTTACTTGCTGCTGTTGTGATTTTATATGGTCCGTCCCAATTTGTTCCCAATTTCCCTTCATTCGGGTCCTTTGTCGCTTGCGTTTTGGCCTTTAGCACGTAGTCCCCGACTCTGAGTGGTCGTACTTTGGCCTTCTTATTATAGTACCTTTCTGCTCGTTGTTTTTGGGCCACCATTCTTATGTGTGCCATATCCCTTCGCTCTTCGACCTCATCCAGGTCCTGTAACCTGCTTTCATCGTTGCTTGATCCACTCTCATTGGAGTACCTCAGGCTAGGTTCCCCGACCTCAACGAATATGACTGCATTGGTGTCGTAGACCAATGAATATGGCGTCTCTCTTGTGCTGGTCTTTGGTATTATGTGGTAGGCCTATAGCACCTCCGGTAGTAGTTCCGGCCATAGCCCTTTGGCGACTTCAAGATTTTTCTTTAATATATTCAATATTGTTTTATTGGAGGATTTCGCTTGACTGTTTTCGGTAAGATGATATGGCATGGAGAGTATCTGCTTGATGTGCCATTTTTCGAAGAACTCAGTCGTCTTTTTTCTAACAAATTGGGGTTCGTCATCGCAACTAATTTCTTTGGGGATGCCAAAGCGGCATATGATGTTTTCCAGATAAACGTGATGACTTCTTGTTCGCGTATTTGAGCGAACGCACTTGCTTCCACCCATTTAGAAAAATAGTCAGTTAAAACCAAAAGGAAGCGTACCTTACCCCGCCCTGCTAGGAGGGGACCGACGATATCCATCCACCATTTTATGAATGGCCATAGGGAGGTGACGGAATGCAGGAGTTCCGCTGCCTGGTGTATCATAGGGGTGTATTTTTGGCATTGCTCGCACTTCTTGACGTACTCTGTGGCCTCTTTTTCATAGTGGGTCAGTAGTATCCTGCACGAATAAGATAGATGACGAGGGCTCGGTTACCGTTATAGGCGCCGTAGTGGCCTTCATGTACCTCTTCGAGCAATCGCCTTGTCTGATTGGGTCCGAGGCATTTGGCCAACGGGCTGCCGAATGTCCTTTTGTAAAGGTCCTGGCTTATGAAACTGTATCTGGCCGCCTGTATTCGGAACTTTTTGGCTTCTTTTTTATCTTGTGGGAGTGTCCCTTCCTATAGATATGATATGAAACGATTACGCCAGTCCCAAGTTAAATTTATATAATGTACCTCGACTTGATCTATTGATGAGTGGAGAAGGGTGACCACGTTCTCCTTGGTGATGTTTCTGGTTGCCGCTGCCAGCTTGGCGAGACCATCTTCTTCGATGTTCTGTGCTCGGGGTATTTGGTTGAATCGGCATTCGTCGAATTCTGGCAGCAGTTTGTGGATTTCGGTTTGGTATTTCTGCAACCTCTGTTTCTTAATTTGGAAATTCCCAATAACCTGGTTCACAACGAGTTGAGTGTCACAGCGAAGGATGACCCGTCGAGCACCATACTTGAGGGCCAAATTTAATCGTGCAATTATGGCCTCATACTCGTCCTCATTGTTAGTCATTTCAGGACATCGTACAGATTGACGAATCACTTCTCTCATCGGGACCTCGAGCACGAGTCTCGATCCTGTCACGTTGGACGCGTCGTCGGTGTATAGGACCCAAAGGTCAGATTGCTCAGGTGAAGTGTGAAGCGCTTCTTGATCAACTTCAAGCAGTATCTCAGCGCTGAAATCGGCGATGAAGTCGGCGAGCACTTGCAACTTTATTGCGGTTCGCGGTTGGTATGTTATATCGTGCTCGCTGAGTTCTATGGCCCATTTGGCTAGCCGACCTGATAAGTCGGGTTTATGTATGATACTCCTGAGAGGAAAGGTTGTCACCACTTTTATGGGGTGGCACTGAAAATACGGTCTAAGCTTTCGTGAAGCTACGACTAGTGCCAGAGCCAGTTTCTCAAGGTGGGGGTACCTTGTTTCAGCGTCAATTAAGGTTTTGCTGATACAGTAAATTGGAGATTGCGTACCATGGCTTTCTCAGACTAGAACTGCACTTACCACAACCTCGGTACGACTAGGTAGACTAGGAGGCACTCACCTGAATCTGCTTTGGCGAGCAAGGGTGGCGAAGACAAGTACGCTTTTAGTTACCTCAGGGAATCGACGCACTCTGCATTCCACTTGAGCCTGTTGTCCTTCCTTAATACATTAAAGAATTTATGGCACTTGTCTGATGACCATGAGATGAACCTCGACAGGGCTGCTATTTGTCCCGTCAATTTTTGTACCTGCTTTTTGCTGGTCAGTGTTTCGGGTATTCCTTCGATGGCCTTAATCTGCTCCAAGTTGACCTCGATGCCTCTTTGTGACACTAGGAAACCAAGGAACTTTCCTGAGCCTACGCTGAAAGCGCATTTTTTGGGGTTTAGTTTCATGTTGTACAATCTCAATATGTCGAAGGCTTCCTTCAGATGTCCGATATGATCTTCTTTCCTCTTCGACTTAACCAGCATATCGTCGATGTAGACTTCTATTGTTTTACCAAGCTGGTTTTTGAACATTTTGTTGACCAATCTCTGATATGTCGCCCCCGCATTTTTCAGTCCGAACGGCATCACTTTGTAGCAGTATGTTCTCTGGTGAGTGGTGAAAGTGGTTTTCTCCTGGTCTTCTTTTTCCATGAGAATCTGGTTATAACCCGAATAGGTATCCAAGAAGCTTAGCAACTCATTTCCTGCTATTGAATCGATGAGCTGGTCGATGTGTGGCAATAGAAAAGAATCTTTCGGATATGCCTTGTTTAGGTCCATGAAATCTACACACATTCGCCATTTTCCGTTTTTCTTTTTCACCATGACCACATTGGAGATCCATTGAGGATATTTCGATTCTCGGACGGAGCCATTTCCGAGTAGTTTATCGACCTCTTCGTTGATTGCGGCGTTGAACTTCCTTCTCATTTTCCGCACTAGCGGATATAGGGGATCGACGTTTAACTTGTGGGTGGCGATATTGGAATGCCTGGCATATCTGCATAGGAGAAGGCAAATAGATCGGCATGGTCTGTCAAGAACTTATGAAACTTACCTAGTTCCAAGAGGTTGTGACCGATGTAAACCTTTTTTGTGTTATCTTTGCCATCTAGTAGGACGGGATCAATATTTTCTATCATTGATTAGAACTCCTCCACGATGTCGGGGTCCTTGATAACGTCTGTCTGCACGTTAGGTTTGGCTCCCGACATCGCTGATTGCTATGCTTCCACATTTGCTCCTTTGAGTTGTTGGGTGTGTGTGCAATCTTGGGCGATGCGATAGAATTCTTGTGCGGTGTGGTGCTCCCCTCGAATGCTGAACATTCCCCATAGGGTAGGAAACTTGATCACTTGATAGAGACTGGAAGGTATCGCTCGCATGGTGTGTATCCACGGGTGCCCTATGATGGCGTTATAAGCCGTTTCTTGGTTCATGACGTGAAATGTTGTTTCCAGGGTGACTCCTCTAGCTAGGACGGGTAGCACTATTTTCCCCAAAGTCTGCTCAACTGCATTATTAAAACCTGTTAGCATTATACAGCATGGTATAATTTTATCTTCGAGTCTCATCTGTACGAGAACTCGAGGATGGATAATACATGCGCTGCTACTGTCATCTACCATTATTCTTTTTACATCAGTATCTGCGATACATAAAGTGATAACAAGATCATCATAGTGAGGGAAAGACAAATCGTCGAAATCTGACTTATCGAAGATGATACTGTCTTCGATGTCATCATACCGCTCGTGAGTGATTGATCGTTTGAGCTTATGTGGTGGTGAACTTGACATGATTGATTGTTGTGTCGTTGCCCCCGCCGATGATCATCTATATGGTGCAAGCGGGAGAGGGCGATTTTGAAGGCCCGTGGGGTTGTTCGCGTCCGCGGGCAAAGTTAGTCTGTCCTCGATCATTCAATAGCTCCTTCAGGTAACCCTGGTTCAGCATTCGTATTACTTCCTGTCGCAATCCTATGCAATCTTTGATTTTGTGACCCCTTTCTTGGTCAAATTCGCAGAAAGTGCTTGACTTCCGAGTGCTGGGGTTTGACCTCACCTTTTGCGGCCATTGCACTTTTGGGCCGAGTTTCTCTAGGGCGTACACTATTTCTGAAGGAGAAACACAAAAGTTGTGAGCGGATAAAAGTGGAGGCATACCTTTCTCGTGTCGATATGGTGTGATGTGTTGAGGAGGAGCATCCGTGCATCGGTGTAGAGGCGGGACCGACGTCCTGACATAGGGTTGATGCCTTTTCCGACCGGAACGGGCCCCCAACTGATCTATTCGACCGTCGCTACGATGATCTTTCCTTGCTTCGGTTTAGAGTAACATCAACCGTTAGGTCGGGCCGTTTAGATTTTCCTCGTCGGCTTGTACCTCGGCGTAGTAGGCGTTATGAATTTATTCCCAAGTAGTTGGAGGGTATTTCATGAGCCTGCTTAACAGTTTTCTAGTCGCCCTCGACCCATTTCTGTTTAATCTGTTCTGGAACTCTGCTACTGCCATTTCTTCTGACATATTCGGCAAGCTCATTCTCACCCTGTTGAACCGAGCTAAGAAGTCCCTAAGTCCCTCACCATGTATCTTCCTTATGGCGAATATATCATTTACCCTGGCCTCTGCCTTTTTGGCTCCAGCATGGGCGATGATGAATTTGTTTGCCATTTCCTTGAATGTTGCTATCGAGCGTGCTGGTAGTTGAGAGTACCATGTCAAGGCTCCCCCTGTTAAGGTTTCGTCGAACGTTTTCAACAGCACCGATGGTACCTATTCTTTTAAGAGATTGTTGCCTTTTACGGCTGTAACGTAGTGGATGATGTGATCTTTTGGATTGGTAGTACCATCATATATATTTAAGTAGGGCGGCATTTTGAAGGTTTTTGGAATAGTGTACGGGGTCGCTTCCTCATTGTATGGTTGCTCGATGAATCGCCTAACATCGCGTTTTGGCAGCAACTTTGGAACGCCTGGTATTTTGTCAATTCTCTCTTGATGTTCTTTCATTTGATTGCAGAGCGCCTTATTCTCATTTTTCATTTCTTCCATTTACTTGAAAGCGGCTGCATGCGTATCATTACTTGTGTTATTAGCAACATAAGTGTTACCTATGCGGGGGGCGTCTTGCTCACCCTCGTTTATTGTGACATCTGCATGTGTCACATTCCTATCATCCATTTGGGTGGGTTTATCAAGGATGGTGTTTGGAGAATTTGTTAGCCATTCTTCCAGCAGTCTTCTTACTACCGGTGGTGCCTCTCCTGTTGCAGATGTGGAGGCTTTCTTTTCGCGTGAAGCGGTCATGCTCCCGTGCGAGGGAGGTAAAGTTTCTCCCCCGGGCGTGATGTTTGATGTTTCATTTTCGTGATCCTCTCTGCTATCTTCGTTGATGGTGTCTAGGAGGTTGGCTATGACTGTCACGATCCATTTTCTAAACAAGCCGAGACCGGCACTCGATCACTAAACCTGAACGAGCGAACCATCTCTGCTTATTCAATCTATTATAGCTCCACACTTTATATGCAAGAAAGCAATACTCTAACCAAATACTCTTGATTAATTCAAATATTTAAATAAATTAACTCCAAAACTTTATTCATAGTAACTACTGAATTATTGCTAAGTTATTATAAAATAACATATGAATCTCAACCCAATGACTACGTCTATGAAGCCTCTACTGATAAACTGACGCACTGCTCAGGACATGAGATTTCCTGGTCAGTTCTCTAGATAAACAAAGAAATAGCTAAATGAAAATGACTCTAAGAATACTCCACGAACAAAAGCGGAGCTCACCAATATCACTGGAAGGGAAGGAAGTCCTAACTCGTAACCTGTTCGCCTGCAAATCCGGTTCCTACGTTGTACCGCAGACCAACGTAGGTTCCCAAAAGAGAACGTCAGTACCATCCATTGTACTCAGTGAGTCTGAACAACATGAGGAGAAACTTTAATAACATATACATTACGAGCAAATGTTCTAAATGCATGTAAAACATAAAGCTTATAAGAATAATTCTAAAATAATTGCATAATAGCAATTTACGAATATTCTAAAAGAAATTCTTTTCTTTTTCTTTCTTTACAAAAAATTACTTCACTTTATACTTTGGGAGNATCTTCCCTCCTTAAAAATATTCGTCCTCGAATGTTGCTAGGGCCTTATTCTTAAGTTAACAATCATTCCTTAGGTCCTTGAACCTCTTAAATTTTCTTAGCACTATCCACTCTTCCAAGGGACTCAAAAATTTGGCTAACTCCCTAAATTTTCAAAAATTTCGGCAGAGTTTCCTTTGTAACTTGGACTATCCAAAAAAATATCTCTGTCACAAATACCACTACTACATCAACAACAACCAAATATACCATAACAAGCCATTCATAGGCACCATACGCAGCTCATAAATTAATTACTCACACTCCGGCAAGGAGGTACC